GTAACATTTAGCTCGGCATTTGCTGTTCACAAAGAGAAAATTAATTCCATTTATTTACACTTTCAAGGATTTCACCCACTATAATAGCTTTAGTGAACTCAAATGCAGCCTTGCCCTGTGTTTTAAGTCATTTTCATCCATTTTGTTTATAGGGTAAATGTGTCTCCATATTGGAAAAAGCCCTCTACATTCAAATAGCATGAACACTATAAAATAAAACAGAATTAATGTTATTGGTGACATTCAATCTTATTTCTCCCTTGGCAATGTGAAGGTAATGTCATGAACTTAAAATGTTATACTGTTGCATGTTTTTGTCATTGAAATAATGTTTTAATAGAACTTTCGAGTTCATGTAAAATGACTCCATTAAATAATTGACTCTGGTAGACAATTTATAAGAAAAACAGTTAAATACAAGACCATACTCATCTTTATTAGTTACTATAAATGAGGAAAATGCTGATTCCTCTGCCATCATCACCCTTTCCTTCTCTCCTCTCCATGTGGCATCCTTCTCTCCCTCATCTAATTCCTGTGCTTCCTCCTTCTACTCCAAACCCAGCACTTAAATATGTTAGCTCTCTTCACCCTGCTGCAGATGATTAGTGAAAAGGAGGCTACATGTGATATCCTGATGCAGCATAGGAGAAACCAGTTTGGTTTCCACTGCTCAGAGCAGAAAGGCCAAGCATTGCTCTCTCTTCACAGGCCACTTGCTCCCTTTACCAAACCCTGGAACTCTTTGCCTATACAAAGCCCAGCTCCTCCCTGTTATGGATTCTGTAGGTACAAAAAGTCTTCAATAAGCAACCTTGACATGAATGCTCTTCTTTTCCTTTGATTCATAATACAATATAAGGAAAGGGGTTCCCTTTCTCTGCAAAATTAATTAATAAACTTCCTGGTTTATAACCAGATTTCAAGGTTCTTCTTTCCCACTGTTTCTATATCTTTCTTGAGGACATGAGTCCAGGGAGAGACAGAATGTCTTCACCACATTTTCACTGAGTTTCAACTTTTTCTGTTGATCAACTGCACATCCTATTTGGGACTTTAACAGTTTTGGACCGACCCTATGTCTGTATCTTGCTGTGGGAGCAGAATTGTATTTCCATAGGTCACTTTATTGTAATGATCTTAATTTTTCTTAATATATCATGGGATGCAAACCAGATGATCTGTAAGTTGGATTTCAGTCATCTTAGGTCGCCATTAAGGTGGTTTTTTTGTTTTGTTTTGTTTCTGAGACAGGGTTTCTCTGTAGCTTTGTGCCTTTCTCAGAACTCACTCTGTAGCCCAGGCTGGCCTCGAACTCACAGAGATCCGCCTGGCTCTGCCTCCCAAGTGCTGGGATTAAAGGTGTGCACCACCACTGCCAGGCCAGCCACCACTGCCCAGCACGCCATTAAGGTTTCCAATACCTAATGTTGTAATGGACTGTGTCTTTCCTCCCAACATCAATACAAAAACTCCTTATATCTGAAATACTAGTTGTTAAAATATTTGTTAAAAACTTAAATGAACCAACCACATTAAAAACTAGCACATTTATATTTATAGCAGCTCTATTCATAAGCGCCGAAATTTAGTAGACTAAAATTCTTCTAGTCCCACCAGTTGTGGTGGGACCGACCACACAATGTAATATTATTATCAAGAATGAAAATGAGTTATCAGGACACCAGAAACCATGGAGAGACCTTAAGCACATATTGCTAAATGGGGAAAAAAAAAACAGCCTAGGGTACATACTGCCTAATTTCAACATGACATTTTGGAAAAGGCAAAACTAATCCAATCTTTAAAAGATCTGTGTTCCCAATGGAAAAACAAAAGGGAAATAAGCAAAGAAGATGGAATGTGTAAATCACTAAAACTACCGTGGGGTACATTAAACATTTATCAAAATCCATGGAAATTATAAACAAAGTTGGAACCCTAAAGAAAAGCCAGGACTTTAATTAGTAGCATGGCAATATTAGTAATTGTAATTAGAGCTCCATAACCAGGTATATATATTGGTTCTGATTATAGGGCAAATCTGTAGGGTAGCTCAGTTGAGCATATAGAAACTTTGTGCCCCATGATCAGTTTTTTTTCTATAAATCTAAAATTGTTCTAAGAATGGTTTATCAAAACAAAACAAACAGAAATGACCATATTTGACCAGATGGGAAGAGGGGTACTGGAAATGGATAGGTCTAAGTATGGATGTGGGTCAAGGTAGTTGGAAAGAATAAGGGAAGAAAGATCAGTTAAAACTATATAAAAAGGCCATACAGAAGACTGATAAGTAACTAACTAAAAATAAAATAGAATTTGAATGGAGGTACCCCTATGGGTACATAAAGCTGCTTTTCCAGAAGTTTGAAGTTATTAAAAGAAATTCAGGCAGGAAATACCTTCCTATGAGGTATAGTCAGGGAGTTTCCTAAGCCCCCAAAACAATTCAGGCAATTACTACGGCTGTTGGTTTCCCACCAGAATGAGATGGTAACAACTATTGCTTAAGACGTCGTACACTCCAGTAGACGCAGAGAAATTAAGTTGGAGTTGGTTGGGACGCTTCCTCACTAGAAAGTTATCCTTCCTAGTGCTAGAGACTGCCCTGCTTGTTGCTGGAGGACTCTTACCAACAGTCTTTCTTTGCCGTGGATCCTGTATGCACACCACAAATCAGACATGCAAGATGTGCCCATTGGTGTAATAGCAGCTTCTGTGTTATGGAGATAATAAACTACTTACTGATTGAATTTGTGGCCCACTGCCTCAGGAGAAAATTCATGTTTGGTACTGTAAACCTGGTCAAAAGTCCGTGGCTGAGGAGATCATAGGCCCAAGTGGGGAAGTTACTAACATAGTTTTTGCTTAATGAGCATAATATGCACACCAGCTTGCTTCTAAATAACTTTGTTAATGCCTGTAGGTTAGTCTTGCTATCAGCTTTGGTGAGAAAGGGTTTTTTGCAGTGGTAACTTCAGAGATATACAACTGATCACAGTGATGATGGTAACCATTGAATGCTCATCCACAAAGGGAACAGCTATCTCAGAGCCATAAGTAGAAGAGCTATATCACCCTCATTAAGGTGATAATGCCAGAGAACATTCCAAAGGAAGGAATAGAGGGAATGTAAGAGCTGGAGGCAAAAGAGTGGCATGCTAAACTGTCCTCTGGGCATGACACATCCATTGCATTTTGAACATACAGCAGCTGTGATAGCTTTCACAAGATTCACACAAGACTGGGCTTCTCAATACCTTAACACCATGTCATGGAAGAGGGAGAGGTTCATTGGGCCCTATTCTTACCTATGGCTTTATACACAGTGAATGTTTGATAGGATAGGGAGAGACATTTATTCAGAGATGTCCTCACTAGCAAAGTGTCCATGCTAGTCTAAACAACCCTTCAATCATGTTCCTGTATAAACTGTATTGAAACTCATTGGGCCACAGACACATACACAAAAGGACATAAAGTAGAGCGGTACTAAATAGTGGGAGTAAAGACATGGGGAAGCGTGGGACAGACACAAGAGAAGGGGCAAATCTAGTTAAAAACATCATATGCACATATTAAGATATTATAACGAAACTCACTATTGTAAGTGATTAACATATGCCAAGAAACATTTTTTGTTTTGCTTGCTTGCTTTTCTTTTCTTTTGTTTTGTTTTCGAGACAGAATTTCTCTGTGTAGCCCTGGCTGTCCTGGAACTTGCTCTGTAGACCAGGCTGGACTTGAACTCTGAGATCCACCTGCTTCTGCCTTCTGAGTTCGAGTGCTAGGATTAAAGGCCTGTGCCACCACTGCTTAGTGCCATTAAGCATTTAAAAAAAAACAAGATTTAGCATTCTCTCAACAGAGCAGTTCTGTAGTTTTCCAGAGATATGCAGGTGATATTTCCTCATTAAGCAATCGTGGCTAATCAAACACAGAAATATTAGGATTCCACATATAGAAACTGAGTTTAATCCTGATTTGTCCTGTACTGTATTATACCTCTCAGGCACTGATATCTTCATTTAACTAAAGAGAGCTTAAGGTATCTTCCTTTTACAGACTGAGTTCTACACTCCATCCCCACTGGATGGCTATGTTGAAACTCTAATCCTCAGTGTGACTGTATTGGGATATAAATCTATTAAGGGTATACACAAGGTTAAATGAGGTCGTGTAAGTGGGAGAACTGAATCTCGTATGAATGCTGCCCTCATATGAGGAGGAAGGAGCACCAGAGAAGTACATGCAGAGAGGAAAGACACAAGGAGGTTGCTTCCTGCAAGTCACAGGGGAGAACTAGAAGAAAACAAGCCACTAACACATTGATCTTAGACTCCCAGGCTCCAGTACTGTAAGAAAGAAATTGTACGTTGTTTAAACCACCCATTCAGCAGTATTTTGTCATAGAAACCCTAGAGGATATTATAATACTTGTTCACTCTAGTACATTGGTTTGAGTAACTGCCATTATAAACATCATTAAAGCATCTTATTTTTCAATTATATTGAATTCTTTGTACTGCCCTGGAATGAGATTTCTTTAATCTCTTAATTTCTTAAGAAATAAAACTGTATACCTCCTACTATACATTGACATAAAATAATGCCTTAGAAAATCTATTATGTGAGGTGCCTCAGAGAATAAATGTCTGATTTATGTGACTGCTCAGGCAAAGCTTTGGCAGAGAGAATTTATCTTATAGACATCTATGTGCTTTAAGATGTTAAATACTCAGGTGAAATGTGTGGGTTTTGAAAAACAGTAGTAGATTGATTCAAGTTGTGAAAGCTTAAGAAGTTTTGCTAAAAATTATTAAGTCCATTCTTAGTAAACTCTACATGTTCTAAACATCTTCTCTTAAGAAGAAATAAAATGCATAAAACAATTTTAATTGGTATATATTCATTGTTCATGGTCACCTTCTAGGTCCTCTCTTTTTGAGAAAAATAAATTTTAAATTTTAACTTGTCAAAGACTTTGCTGCACTTACCTCGTCTGAATATGGAAGTTGTTTGTTGTTCCTGTGTGCTCATAATCATGAATGGCAGCTGCAAAAACCATCGCTAAAATTTCCAGTTCAGTGAGCCAATGCTAGCAAAGGAAGGAAACATCTCATCACATTCGACATCTTTATCATCATTTCTCTTTATGGGTAAGTCTTTAGTGTGTTCAGAATGCACAGTCATATAAAACAATGTGATATTTCTTTCATATGTTTTCCCTTTTCACTCAATTATGAATAATGGCTGCTTCATGAAATCAATGATTGTTTCATGCTTTGTAAGTTCAAATTTTAAAATTCAAAATATCATCACCTTTGCTTCTTAGAAAAGGAGTCTTTTTCCATTGTTTGAAAGGTTGACTGTAAATGATTTTGAGGTTACAACTTTACTAGTTTGGGGTCTTATGACATAAATGATAATATAACGGTCTTTTAAAACCTAGAGTTTACCTTCACTAAAATGTATATTTGGATAATTGTTGAAGACTCTATAAGAACAAATTTTCATTTAAAAGTAAAAATACTTATTCTTTTCAAGAGAGAAACTGAACTTTGTTTTTAGATTTAAGGATGTGGAAAAATTTCTGAGAATTTACCCAGTTTTGTATTTGTAGCACATATGTTACCATTCAGTGAAACTTGATAATGACGAAGGAAAGAATAATTGTTTTCATGTAAAATCCAGGTCCATCTATTCCATATGCATTGACTCCTCTTTCATGAGCTGCCTGATGCCATTTATCTACTGCTATAGCTTATAGAGTAATTGAATGCGTTGTTTATCACTCATATTCTGTGTGACACACAATCACACATGTGACAATTAAAAATCAATAAAACATAATAGAATCAAATTCACTGCCCCATTGCAGAAGGTAAGTTTCACATGTTCATTGATCAAACTGGGCAAGTGATTTCACACAGAATAGCTGAGACACCACAAGGCCATCAACAAATGTTCTTTTGGACAGTCCTGCAAGAAGATAGGACTTGCATTAGGAAAATGGGTTCTAAAGCGAGTTGGAGTTTTCTTTTGGACACTTTCCATACATATGAAAACACATAACCTAACCCCCCACACCCATACATGCATACAAACATACATAAATACACATACATACATACATACATACATATATACATATACATGCATATACATTCACACACATATGTTGAGTTTGAGAGTCAGATGAAATGAGGTTGAAAAGAGGATGAAGAGTCTGAAACCAACTGATGGTCTCCTTTAATTAAAAATGATGAATTTGGGTTTCATATGAAAGGCAGGCAGGAGCCACTGACGGCCTGTGAGTTGGCAATGGTAGTCTCTCGGGCTCACTGAGCTGTGTTCCTCTCACAGAACCAACTGCAGAATTTGGCACATACCAGGAAATGTTGTTTGTAGAGTTGAAGCTCATCAGTTTTGCATAAGAGGGAAGTAGGAGGGAGCAGTGGAAGAGAGCATATGATCAGTCAGTCCATGTGTGAGTCTCTCTTCGTCATCGGGAAAGTGAGATGTTTACTGTCTAAGCCACAGATCCCATTAAAATGGAATTAATGAGTGTTCCTCTGTGAGCTTCCAAAGTTTAGAGTGAATTTATTTGCTGTTCCTACCAAAGCCTTGTCCAATAGCTAAACACAGAGCAAATGACACTTTACTACAGTTATTACTTTATACTGCAAAGCATTAAATCTAGAAGATGACAACTGGCATGCCTTCACTGACTACACTCGAAATATGAAAGCCCTAAATGCAGGCAATGACTTTCAGAGCCGAAGGAATTTAGTGTAACTAGGTGTTTGGTGCATGTAAACACTCACTTGAGAGTCATTAAAAGGAAGAAAGCGGCCTTAGTAATAGCCTGTCTTAGACTGAGCTGGGACTGAGCCTCCAGAGTTCCCGCTGACACCATGGAACTAGACACAATGAAGTGAGTAGAAATGAAATGAAAACAGTTGGTCCCCCAGTAATCCAGTGTTTTATTAAAGAAACACGTTTCTGAGGGAACAGAAGCCACCGATCTTCTTCAAGTATCTCTTATTGATTGTATTCAACTGATTGGGGAAAAAAGCAACTTTCAATACCTACTATGATAATACTAAATATAAGGCTGCAAAGTAAATTTAGAGATGGAATTTCATCACAGACTAGCTCATAATTATTTAAAATTATCTTCTGAGCTATCAAAATTGATTTTAAATGTATTTCCTGTTTTTCTCCTAGTTAATCTCTGCCTCCCACAAAGAGAAGTTTCTCCATGAACTCCACTTAAATACTACTGTGTGATGGCCTTTTTGAATATGTTTATAGGGGAAAATAATTTGGGAATATAGAAATTTTCACATTCAATTGAAAAATATCTATTTTCATCTTAGTAAAATAATTTTGCAATGACTGCTAGCTCCTTCATTGCTGATTCACTTATTGCTGGTGGTTCATGTGTTTATAGTTAAGGAAACATTTAAATTTGTGGATTTCTAAAATAACTCTTGGGGACATATGAGATCAGATCATATCACGTTTCCCATCTGGGACAGAACTGAATACAACAATGGGGGTCTGCTGGTTCCTGAAGGGCAGAAATCCAAGGTTAAAATGATGAGCCATGAGCAATGTAGATTCTGCATCTCATCTAAGCTGTAGACAGTATGTGCCCTAGAGTAGGGCTCAGGGTAGTGTATTCTTAGGTGGGCAGTCCTCGGGTTATAGCAAAAGGAAGTATTGAATACTCCTAGCTTACACATCAATGACAGAGAGGAAGGAGCTAGAACTGTTGTTAAATGGGCCTTTGAGATGATTCCATTATTTTTATACTTGTTCTATTTTCCACTCAGGAGATAAATATTTGTATCTTTATGTTGGCAGATAGCAGAGCTGAGTCCTGTGGAACTGGATCAACACACCAGAGGTTATACAGAGACGAGAACTGGGATTCAGATAAAAAATTATTGTGTTTTCTTTTCTTCCTGTGGCTCACAGTAACTTTCATAGCTCAACACAACTGCCCATATTCTGAGCTTTCAAAAGCAGAATTGGATATTTGAATGAGTAAAAGCTAATAGAACTGTTAAGATTATGTTCACATTTGAATTGCTATGTATGTATGTGTACATGTGTGATAAAGAATATGCTTGGGCTAGTCAGAATTTCAGATCAGAAGATCATGTTGACTTGGTTCTTAACAAAATTTCAAAGGGACATAATAACAATTTTAGCCTAAAGTGTTGGGGTTGGACATTTTTTTCTCTCCATCTTTTTAAATAAACTTGAGTAGTTTGCTCTAATTTAACATAGAAAAGTATTACATCATGAAACCTGATAATATGTCTAGTATTATCAGCTGTTTATTTCAGGTACTACATATATAACATGCTTATAATGAGACTTAATGGCTCTTCATTACCAGCCTGTGAATTGCACAGTATTATTGACTCTGTTTTAGTGACAAGGAGACCAAAACACAGAGCTAGCATTAGAAGTGGCAGGTAGTATTTTCAAAGCTGGCAGCAGCCTCCTAAGCCCATGCTCTTTCAAACAGTGTTGCTGGGGAAGCCATTACTACAGACCATGATACATTTTCTGTAGATTGATCAGAGGAAAATGGAGTCATCCCAAAGTGTGGGAGTTGGCGTCTGGGCCGTCGGTGGGTTGCAAGTTCCAGGGGAAAGACCGGAAGTCACCTCTCTTTCTTCTCATGAGATCATTAGAGAGAACGAATGCGACCAGCCACCAAGTATAAAAGTGCTTTGGCTAAGGCCCTAGAATGACCTTGTCTTTAAAAAGACGGTTGCAGGTAGCTTGGCATCACTCCATATGGCAATGGCTCTTTAGCAAATGGATTTTCTGTACATCACTGTCACCATGGCATAGGTGACAAGTTAATCAAGGGGCAAAAGGAGAGAAAGGGAGGCACAGCAGCTGCACCAGCATCTAGTCCCTGCTTCTCCCCACGGCTGACTGTCAGGACTGAGGGCTTCCCTCTGATGTTAAAACACAGGGAGCTTCATCACAATCCCTTTCAGGCTGTGCTCCTCAGGACACCTTGCAGGTGACAGACACATTAGTCACCTGACAGCATGGCCTGGAACTGGAGTGCTCTACAAATGCCACTCTGATAAGACCAGCTCAAAGTAGCAGGGAATCAACTCAACGTTAAAAGGAAGGAGTGACCTAGTCTTTTCCATATCAAATCTGATGGGTGAGAAAAGACTTGAAGAGGTTTAGCCGGTATTTCTGTGATGCATTTTTATTTCAAAGATCAAAGCTGTTCAACTGTATGAAAAGTAGCATTCACCTAGCACCGCAAAAGAAAGCTTATTAAAACTACTTCCCCAAAACTGTCGAGGTGACAGTGTGATCTCATTTTGACAAAATACTCAACACATTCATGAATTCATTTCACCATAAAAATTGTATTCCATTGTAAAAATCATTCTCTTTTGCTTTAATTAAATGAATTTTCTGGATTTTACTCAAGACTACCATTAGGTAATGGTAACCAGCAGACTAATTTTGTAATGGTCAAACTCACCGTTGACCCCACTGATATTTTGATGAAGAATGATTAAAATCGGAAGCAAAGTGTCATGTCAACTTTGGTAAAAGGAAGGGAGTTACATCCACATCTGTGGTTTTCTCCAGAGTGACTCTGACCTGCACTAATGACTTCATTTTCTGGGTATTACGCAAGGAAGCAGGGGATGCGGGGCTCAGATTACCCAGGCTTCAAGGGAACAGGAAAGGGCTTCAGATGCGCTGAACAAATCTTCCCTGTAAATCCGAGAGTAAAGTCACATGGTGGATTTGAATTTCTCTGGCTATCCACTAATGGGACACCTCACACCTTTTCAATGTAACCTTTGGACTTGAGATTCTCAGAATAAAAGAGATGTTTATTTGGTTCCTGTGTCCTTATAGTAAACAAAAGAAAACAACAAAATGTGTTTGGACATTTGTAAAGATATTGTAAAATAATGAAATTCTGATGCCCACGTCACATATTTTTTTTTTCAATTCACTTCACAACTGAGCAGCTATTGAGTTAGAGCCAAGTAGGCTTTGCATGTCCACTCCCTCTTCAGAAAACTAACCAGTTTCCACTTTAAAGTGTGATCTAAATAAATCTTTCTTTATTTGTTGTTTTCAGTTAACTTTTTAAATGACTAAACTCTGGAAAGAGGGAATGTCAAACGTTTGAAAGAAAAATCGGCTCACCATGGGAATCAGGGCAGAGGCATTAGAAATCAGAGGCAAGAGGAGAACCCTAAGGCAATGTGTCCCACAGAAGGACACGTTACTGCTCAGGAGGCCCTTCTTTCCATTCTGATAGGCCATGCACACTACAGCAAGTGCAAGTGGAGCATTCCAGAAAGAAGTGAGACAATGCAGCCTCATTCAACCTAAAGGCTTTGGGGAAACTCAGGTGCTACATAGGGGCACTCGTTCATGTACAACTAGAAAGAGAAACACTCCCCAAAATACTTCTTTTAGGACAGGTTTTGAAATGATTGCTTTGTTATAGCATGGATATTTCTCCAGTCTAGTGAATATTTAAAATGTCTCTGAAGTACCCATCTGAGATTCCAGCCACCAGTCATATCAATAACCAGTCACAAGAGTGACATCCTAGACCACAAGACAGGAACATCCTCAGATGTCTCCAGCCATTGTTGCTAGCCAGCTGCTATCACATGGGAGACCTCAAGTGAAAGTCTCCTTGCTGGGACTCTTAACCACAGGCCTTTGAGAGAGAATAACACATTGTTGTTTTTAAGCTGCTACATTCTGGATGATTTTTTTTTCCAGTAACAGATAATATGGAATGCAGGGCAAGAGAGGGATCTCAGCCCAGAGCATTGAATGATCTGCAAAGTTTAGCAGACAAAGGAAAACAAAGAATAAAAAATTATTTGGTTAATGTGTGACACTATAGGATGGACCCTTACAATTGGACATTATATGTAGTATGAACACAATTAATTTGGGGGACAGAGGGAAGCAACTATGATGATAATTTTCTGCATTAGAACCTTAGAAAATCACTTACCCACTACAAGTTGCCAAGCTCTTTAGAACTCTATACTAAAGTCCCAAAGGCTTTTCTTGGAACCCTAACCCTAACTGTGATATAGAGTGAGGAGGTTAACTGAGGGCAGCTGATGAGTCCCATGTGGACAGTAGAAGGGGATAGAAAACACGTTATTGATACATTGGCTTTCAATTCTGAGAATTGTAGCCCTAAGTACTTAGCTCAAATCAATGCCACTTGCAGAAATTAATGACATTATTTCAGCCAAGACTGGCACATGAGAAATGGAGAAGGCACGGGACATGAGGATGGCTCATGGCCTACACTCCTCACTGCCCACCTTAGAAGGTCCTTCTTTTTCTCCTTCTAGTTGTCATTCTGAGCTAGAAGACTACAGAAATGCCTAGCCCTCTCAGGATCATCCATTACTGCTAGGCTAATATTTGTTTTGTTGAATTTCTTGTTCATTTGTTCATTAATTCAGGTGCAAAACATAGAAAAGAATGTCTAGGAACAGTCACATAAATAATTCCCCCAGCCCCCTCTAAGAGTATGTCTGTGATTAGCATTGTAAACACAAGAGGAAAAGCCTTGAAGTTAGGAGAGCTAGAAGTGAGTGAGGAAAGAGTATTTATTTTTAACATATTCTGAAGACTTTTTCTTTAGGTTAATTATTTTACTTTTTGGTTGATTCCTGTATAAAAGAGTTTACACAGGAAGAATGCAGAAACAACTACTCTTAAGCATAGCAGTTGCATGCCCAGCAGTAGATGGCCAATAGAAAATGTACTCAACGGCACCTTTGCAGGGTCCTTGTCTCATAATGTTATATCAGGGCTTTATTTAATTTTATTTTTTAAAATTTTTATCTTATTTATATATAATTTCTTTCTTTTTTTAAAACCCTACAGGTCTTTTGTATATATATTATAACTTCCAGTTCAGTGTTTTTATGGGATTTCTGAGTGTAAAAATAAAAGGGTCTCTGTGTCTATATCTGTTTATTGTGCCTTTTCTTGAGCTTTCTTTCTGTATGTTTGTATCATCCTTTTCCAATGTGTTAGTTTTTGTTTTATCTTGTCATATTTTGATTTTATTATTACCTTTGGAAGCCTGTTGGTTTTCTAATGAGAGACAGAAAGGGGATCGATCCATTTGGGAGATAGTAAGGTGGAAAGGAACTGAGAAGAGTAGAGGGAGGGGAAATCAAGATATATTATGTGAGAAAAAAATCTATATTCTATTTTATAAGAAGACATTTATTTGTATATACAGATAATGGACAAATGTCAGGTCTCATAAAAATGTCTCAATCTAAACACCCTCTTGGCCATATGGAGCGAATGGAAGAGAGAGAAGATAGAATCACTAACGATCCACACATGACTATCACTAGTCAAGTCTGAGAGAAGAAAGCTAAGAGATAAGCACCCATTGGGTGCCATAATTATAATAATTACCCATATAACTATAGCTGCATACCAACTGTATACCAACTCTGATATTTCCTGATTGGATCAGAAAAATTTTCTCACTGGTGTTAGGTCCATCTAAATGACCAACCACTTAATATCCTCCCGGTTTGGCTTGTCACAAGATGATTAGTCAACAGTAATAATCAAGCCACTGTGGAAGGCAGTTTATAAATCTCTTTCAATAAAAGAAAAAAAAAGTACAAACAACAAAGAAAAAGAAAGAATGTTCTACGGTTCAAATTTTAGAAAACTAATATATTAGATATATTTTAATTGACCTTTTGGTATGTTTTCTTTGACAGAATTAAAATATATTCCGAAAAATGTATAACTAATTTATAAAATCCCAGTGATTATTACATGTATGTTCGTCATACATATGATGCTGTACACATATTTGTCCATGGCATTAGAGACAAGAGGAACTCAAGAGAATGGTGTTTGATGTTTCTATGCCAACACATTTCATTTATAAAGGGTTTCTTACCATGATACCTGTATGAAGCATTATGTAATGCACAGTTTGAGTGACATCAGCTGCATGAATCAAATTATGATATGGATTTTTGTGCTTGCTGTAACCAATTTCTAAAGCTTCTGCAAAGGCAATTAGGCAAGAAACAGGAATCTGTGGAAAGTAACATTTATGATTATATTTTGGCTCAAATTGTTATCCCACATAAACATGAGCACAGTGTTTAGAAATGGAACAAATTAATGAATTAAATATGAGCAGTAATTTCAAGTTAAATGTGATTAGTCTTGAAAAACTATATTATTGATATGTTAGTTTGAAATTTTGAGGACTATAGTACAAATGGAATAGCTCATACCATATAGCTCTGAAATTATATATCTTCCACAGTCAAGAAAAAAAAAGGGTAGTACTTAAAAGTATAAAATGCCCCCAGTATAAGCCACAAGGTCTGGTTTTCCTATCTGTATGAGAAAATTGGTGGCCTCCCAGTCTTTCCATCCCTTCCAATGTCATGATCCCTGAGCAAATGAAAGTTAGAGCCTCAGACTACTCAGAAATCTGAATCAAATCTGTTGTTTAGATGCTTTTAAGTGAAACCAATTGGAAGACACCTCTTTTCAGCCTAAGAAAAGCTTCCAGTAATGTAATACTGAGATCCCAGAGCCCCTGTGGTGAGTCAAGAAGATTGAGTGTTAAAGACTAGCCTATGCTACAAGGCAAATTCAAGGCTGCCTTGGGCTACATAGAAAGACCATGCCTCAAAATCAAGAAAAGAAAGGGCTTGCTGTATAGTATGAGAGCCCTGGAATCCATTGCATTTCTTCGAGACATTGTATCTGTCCCAATAGGATTCTGTGAAGAGTCCAGGAGGTGCCTGTTGGGATAAATGTTCCAGGTCTTGTGATGCAGACATGCAGTGAGCTGGGGGTGAGCGTATACCCTTAACTTGTGACCTGCTAAATCAATCTAAAGGCATTAATCAATGACTCAGTGCTTTGTGCCGTCATTCTTATTCAAATACCCGGTTCAACTCTGTTGAAGTTTCTGACCTTGAAGCGGTTGATAAGATCATATCTGGTAAACAGTTCATAAATCATAAACTTCAGACTATGCTCCCCGCTTGCTTCATTTAAGGCAAATACGTCAAAAGACCATTTATCAACATCCTGTAGAAAAAGAGTCGATATTTTAGATGGCAATAGCACATAATTATGCTGCTTCTCATGGAAAATTATTTAACAAATTAAGCATTGAACACACAACAGGTTACACTGCAGCTGAACATGTCAAACTACATTCTGCTGGAGTCTGATGTGGCAGGGCTTCAGGAGTGAGGCTGACATGCATAATACAACAGCAAGGCTTTTCTTCAAGGCCCAGGGTTATGAAGCTGATGTAATAAACTTGTGAAGAGTATAATGCAGCCTTCATCTTTGCTCTCTCCAACTTCCTGCCATAAATCATTTCCTAGACTGGCTCCATTTTAAGTCAGACTAGCTAGTGTACGGGTGATGTCAGTTGAGAGATAGAGGGGAAATAGTCCTGGTCTTTGTTTCTACCCATCTGCTCACTTGCTTCTTTGCTTGGCATTTCAGCATAAAGAGTCAATAATTTGGCTTAAAGCACTGATATTATCTGTCTTATTTTGGCATGTAAATTCCAGAGAGAAGCAGAGCCTTAGCCTCCCTGGCATGACCTAGGCTCACTCACTTAGAGATTCCTCCAGAAACAGTGAGAACAAAAAGTGGGTCATTTGATTGAGGAGGGGGTCAGTTTGCCATTTCATACACATTTTTGCGGACATAGGCAGGTTTATAGGGGGACAGGTAGCACTGGGTATGTATCCCTTTAGTGGCATTGGGAGCGGCAAGTAGGGCTAACTGGCCACCACAGTCACCACACGGTTTTGCTGAAGAAAAACCTAAATGAGTACATTATGGTGTTCTAAAGCAGATCCTGGCTGTCAGTAAAGAACGCGTGGTGAACACATTCACACACACACACACACACACACACACACACACACACACACACTGGCAGATTCAGTGTTGGATAGTACGTGAACAATTTAAAGCAATGATTAATTTGTATGTGTGTCAACTCCATTCAGAGTTTCTTCCCTTTTATATGAACATTGCCATGGGAACCAACTTTATATGCTGTGAGATGCTGAAGCTAAGTCAAATCTGATGAAGCCTCTTTAAAAAATGTGTCATAAAAAGGTGAAAGGGATAGCACCAAATGGTACTTTAAAATACTTTGTTATTTATAGGAGGCTCTTTCAGGCTTCCCCATGCATATGGGGGTCAGAGGACAACTTTGTTGAGTATGTTCTCTCCTTCCATCTTTAAGTGGGTCCCAGGGATTGAACTCAGGTCACCAGGCTTTTGTGGCAAACTCCTTTACCCACTGGACCATCTTGCCAGCCTTATTTAATCACTTAGAATCAAATACCAAGTAAGTCTTTCTTTGCTTGCATGCAATTGTTAAATCCCTCCCATTTGGCTCCAGTGGGATGCCTAAGCACTCCTTTTTATCTCTTTGTAAATTAAAAATCTAAAATTCTTGTTAGAAGGCGTTTTAGCATTGCTGAAGCTCTAAGGAGGGCAATCAATCTTTTATCAAATTCCAAAGCTAGCAAGGAAGAGCTGGTTCAGACCTTGAAGGCTTCCACTTAGAGGCTCAGCTAAGGGTCCCGCTGAGAAAATGAACAGTCCTCAGTTGCTCATGGGGGCTTTACCGACAGTGGTGGTCTACACGCACCTGCAGCAGATGTTTAGCACCCGTGCTGTCGGACTGGCCTGGAGGATTTTCAGAAAACACATTCACTAAAATGCTCTTTGCTCGGTGATGTTTACTCCCTCAACTTTACACTTCATATGGTTTTAATCAACTACATTTTTCAAAATGATTGTGTTCATATACCAAAATATTTTAGTTGATTTTTATGCAAATAATTTAAAATGAACAACAACAACAACAAAAAGGCCAGTTTTCTTTTACACAGTTGAAATAATGGGGATGGCAAAAATCTTTCAAAAACAGAGTAGTTAACATATTAATGTGGCACTAAAGTTACATGCTTGTCTTTATTGTAGTTTTGGAAGCATAAATACATTAAAACGCCTCATGAAAAATGAACAGTCTTTTAAAACTAATAACACTTAAATCCAATGTGCTTGTGCAGATCCAAATAGAGAGTATGCTTAGGACAAAAGGAAACACAAAAACTAAGCATTGCAAATTTAAAATAGGAAATAAATTGTAAGACCAAAACAGGAACACTATTATCTTGCAGGTTGAGGCTTTTGTTTGTAGTTAAAGAATGAGTTCCTGTTTGGAAGTTAAGTCCTTGCAAGTTAAGGTTTCTATTTGTAATTAAGAATCAGTTTCTGTTTTTTAAATCTGAAAAACTGTGAAGCATGTTTTTTAACCTGTATTAAACTTGCAACCCCATTCTCATGTATATATTCTTGTCCTTGTTCCTTCCCTTTCATTGTGTCTTTCTCACAATGTACAAGAACCACCTCTCTTACCCCTGTGAACACTTAATCTCTCCTGGAAAAGGGACCACAAGCCGCTGGAAGGGCTGCTCTCTAAAATCCTGACTTAGGGAGAGGGAGCCACACTGGCCAGTTCCTGGTACTTGCTTCAGTTGGGCAATCTTGGATTCGATCTTCCTCCTTAAAATTTCTAGGTTTAACCAAAGTAAGCCAAAATCTCTTGGTTAATATAAGAAAACCACCACTGTTTTAGGAGACAGAATTGAGTCTTCGAAACCATTAAGAGATTAAAAAAAAAAAAAAAAAGGACTTTAGAATGAACATCCTACAAGACTTTCCTACAGAACAAACAACTTTGAGCCAGGTACACCTGTGTGTTATATGTCCCAAGTGTAAAATGGAGATGTGTGAGCCAGCAGCTTCCTCAGGCAGACTCTCGCTTTGAGTCATTTCCTCCACACACAACACTGCAATCACACATGGGGCACGGGACAGGGCAGTCCCAAGAGGAGACAGACACAGACAAGAAAAATTTGGCTTGGGTTGGTGAGTTTCTTTATCAATTTTATAGTTTCTCAAACTTAAGATCTTGAATAACTTTCTTCTTTATGTTTTGTTACTTAAAAACACATTCAAATATCTTTTTAATACATAATATAAGCATAAAAGATATGCATATTCTCAAACAATGCCATCTGAAAGTGGAATTCAAGAGCCAAGTAAGAAAGGCTTGAAGGAAAAGTTCATACACTGATGTGACCATGGAAGGGTGTGGATAGGTACTGACTGTTAGCATAAGTCACACAGATGTCGTGGAACTCTGTGCTGAGTCAAGGCTTGGGTTGCTTTACATTTAACAGATGCTCAAAATAATTTTTATTTTGTAATATGTAGGCTGCAGCAAAGACCTGCTCCCATTTTTTCCCCAGTCACTTGAGGAAAAAGGAATGCATGTGATTATTTCACAATGGAAAACAATTGAAATTTTTTCACCTTGAGTGTAGTTATGACAGCTGCAGGATATGCCAAACCAACCATGTGATAGCTCTTCCTGTACATCCTGAAAAAGACAGAATCATCCCATATTTAACATTCATTTGCTCAACACTTTCAGCTGTTTTCTCAAATATCAAGAAAAGACAGCTCTAGATTTCTTCACCTTGTACCCCCATGTTTGACAAAGCTGATAATAACAGTCTCATTGTTTCTTTGGGTGACAGGGGGTATAGCATTTATCTGCTCATAGCGACTCTGAGATGTGATCTTAATTTCCATGAAAGACAGCTTTTCCTGAACTTCATGCAATTAACAGGTCGACTGTACTTTCCATGTACAGTGATACTTTTCACAGTCCATCCCATCTGTGAGAGCTGAATATTCTTTTTGTGTCCATTTATATACCAAAAATTTTAGAGGCTGAATAGCATGGGCATGATTCCATTTAGATTGATTGATTTGTGTTTATTTATTCCAGAATAGCTACTATCAGAGGGAAACAGCACCATCAGAATTTACACAGCTCTTTGTTAATGATATTATAAAAGGTTATATTGACAAAAGTAACTCAAGACTGTTCAAATTGCTGTCCAATATTGTTTAAGAAAGACTATTCTGAGAAAATGTCCCTTCTGGTTCCATAATAATAACAACAGCAGCATACTCTTATTTATTTGTAACTTGTTTGTTTCTAATAGGAAGCTAAGTTGATGAAAATCAAATACCAGGTAGAGTCTAGTCAAGAAGACCTTAACACAGATAAAAGCAATCAGCCGTTATCAGGAGTGTGAAGGATTTGACACTATTCCTCATGGATCTGGAAAGACATCACTCAAGTATCAACTGCCTGTTGCATTTATATCCAACTGGCACACAACAAGCTGTACCTCTTAGACTACATTGCTATTACTTCCCCCTCCCCAGAACATAAAGAAAACACTATAATTTGATTAAATATGACTGATGTGGTCAGTATTAGAAATAGTCAAGGGAAAGCTGGGTGGTGGTGGCACATGCCTTTAATCCCAGCACTCAGGAGGCAGAGGCAGAGGCAGGTGGATCTCTGAGTCCAATGCCAGCCTGGTCTACAAAGGGAGTTCTAGGACAGCAAGGGCTACACAGAGAAACTCTGTCTTGAAAAAAAAGAGAGAGAAAGAAAAAAGGAAAGAAGGAAAGAAAAGAAAGAGTCAAGGGGAAAATATTCTTCATTTTTTAAAAATACAAATCCCTGTGGACACATAAAAATATTTTTCAATCTGTGTTCCATGAATTAAAAATTCAGAAAACACATTGCTTTGAAAAATAATAGTTAAAAAAACTAGTAGTTTATTGTGCTTTCCTTTTAAATACTGACTTCATGGGAGCTCAGAATTAAAAATGTGTTTAATTATGTCTTTAGTCTACTCTTTCTTAAAAAAGCATCTCCCCATTTCAGCACAGAAACATGGGCACTTTACTTTTCTGTTTCAATTTCACATTTACTTTAAGTAATCATGGTATTTTCAGATGTGGGTGATCAGTATAGCAACAAACTTCTTTATTGAAAAACCTCAGGAGAGTTTACAATTAAAAGGCTTTTATTAATTACCCCATAGAGATAAGCATAATTACTCTAATCCTGCAGAGCAAGGGAAGCGCTAATCACACAACAAAGGATCCAGAAAGCATTTACTGTTAATAAAGACACTTAGTTGTGGATTCTAAGAAAACAATCTTTATCTACCTACTTTTTCCGTCATTATCATGAAGAAAAGAAGCATGGGGTGAGAAGGAGCAATGAACAGGGAAATGATCAATAAAAAAGTTAATTAGCACACTTTAAGCATTAAATAGTATCAAATCAGTGTGATTTCCTGGCATAGGAGGGAAGGGAGGATGCATCGAGAACCATGCTTTGAATCATAAGATAGCCACTTGATTGCTATGTGGCATTCAGAACAATCTTTAATAGTTCATTTAAAAAAGGAGAATCATAAGCTCTCTGTGGAGAGTAAAGAAGTAAATGCTGGGTCTAATCTAATAAAAACCCAACTGAAGAGAGCTGCTACCACTATTACCATAACTACCTTCATTATCTCCCAGACAATCCTGTTGCTTCCTATTCTCACATAACTCAGAGCTCCCTGGGCCCAGTGACTGCTCTGATACCACCAAGTTTCCTAAATTAGGAAATGGGCTGTAAACATGAGTACTACTTTTTATATGGAATGAAAAGAGGCACGATTGCCCTCTTATAATAATTTAAAAAGAAACATTTCTGTATGATCTGAACCTTCCTAATCCTATCATCGGGGACAGAAATATAAAATTGTAATTTTTTTATTATAGTCAATAAAAAGGAAAATCAACACGACCACTCCAGGAATGTGAGTGTGTGCAGAGGTCTTCATGCACCTGTTGTCTCATTAAACAGGGGACATGCTATACATATCTGAAAAAGACCAATGAATTTCCCGGAATCCAATAGGTGGTAAAGTCCAAGTGAAATCATAAGGGATTGCTTTTGAAGGTTTCTCTAAAACTATGAAATATAATTCCAAACCTGAAAAGAAACAAAGAGAAGTACCCTTACACTCATCACAATCCTAAATAACATTTGGACAAATAATTGCCAGGACTTGCTGAGGTATTTAATCTTGGGAGGGATTTTGTTGGGGGAAGCAACGAGACTTATATTTCCAGGATTGAAGGTTTCAAGATAAATAATATCAATAATGGAGTTTGATATTGATAGATCATGATTTTATTTCTAAATACTCTAAGTATGTTAATTTATAATAGTTAAATTTTCATATTAGTTACCTTCTGCAAATTTTGATATTTCTATTTGGAAAGGAGGTTTAATTTGTATGGCATCACATATGAAAAGAATAGAAACTTACCAGGTCAATACATGAGTCCTGAATTCATAACCGTGTTTTGAATAAATGCACATTCAGCTAGATCTCACCCACAGTTTGCATTGGTTTTCAGCTTGCCAAGGTTTGCAATATTTTAAACAAGGAAGATAACTTGCATTCCCTCAGCAAGCCAAGTATGCCATTTCATCTGAGACTCTCTGAAACATTACTTAGATGTTTTTAATTTGATGCCATGGGAAATCAATAATACTCATATTAAAGGACATTCTCCTCAGCCCAACCTCCTTGCTTCAGACTTCTGTTAGAATAAGTCGATACAGCAGACAAGGTTGCACCCTGTCACTCACTAGAATATCTTTAGTATTCTTTTATCTTAAGCAAAGCAGATGTGACTGAGAAGCTAGCAAAGCAGTTTGAATAACTCACTAGACGTGCTTTGGGGTTGTAGCCTCATGAAATAAGCTGTGAGAAGTACTATCTCTACAGTCTTAACACATCTTTAAGTTGAATTTGCAATAGCAGTCTTGTTATACCTTCTTTCTTACATTTTGAAAATCTAGTATCCTTTCCATTGTTCCTTTGAGTGTAAACAATTCTTCAAAATATTGAAAGATGAAAAAAAAATGACCAGAATTCACTTCAATGTAAATGGTGCCGAAGCTGAGCACGGTGACAATAAGCCTGTAGCCCTTACTCTCCAGAAACTTGAGGCAGGAAAATTGAAAATTCAAGGCCAGCCTGACCTAACCAGTCACTGGCTCAGAAATAGTGTCCTGATATATAATAGTTATCTGTCCTTCAATCTGGTCAGTTTCAAAAATATTAAAATTGCCACTTTACATATAATTAAATACACTACTTTTTAACCTGAGGAATTCCTGGTAAATGCTTCTCCATTTTGCCAGACATGTTTATACTTGGTAATTGTGAAACATCTTATTTCATATAAAGAAAAGTTGCCTTTTCTCTTAAAGATTAAAAAACAACATGTGAAACTTGGCAATATTAATATGTGTAAATGCTGAAAACTCTGATGGCCTCCATGGTATCAGGGATCTTCTTTCAGTGACATAGAACATAAGTTCTCCAAAGCAGAAGTGAGAGAGATTTCATCTCATAATGAAAACAGAGGAAGGAGGTCTTTTCTACTTAGGACAAAAAGGACTCGCTTGACTTTGAAATAAAGATTACTGCCCATTATAGGATTTTTTGGGGGGGGTTATTGTAATTTGCCTCCATAAAATTGATTAATAACCTGTGAACATGTTAGAATTGTTTGTAAACACTTATCTACAAGGGTGTATTTCAAAATGGGTATGATTTCAGTCTTCCTGTCAGCCTTATAGAAAGAAAAAGAAAACATCTAGACACGGCTTTTGTTGTGGTCATGTTCATCACAAGTCCAAGCTGTCCCCTCTAGTTAGATTTGGGATGGTAAGTGCCCTCCACAGATGTAATGTGGACCCTTAGGACTTGGAAGGACTCAGCATGCTTGCCGCCCTTCAGTTTCTCTTATCTTGGGATGGGAACCATGCTGCTTACCTTTCCACAAAAATTCCAGCCTGAACAGCATGGACAATGCTTCGAAACCTTGGTTTTTCCTCGTTCTTCTTTTTCATCAACCCCATTTTCCGTGTAAAGGTAGAAGCCAACCAATCTCGGACTTCCAGTGGGACTGAGTCAGTCTGAATGTCGCTGAGCTCATCTTCAGTGTCCAGAAGCCGTCTACAAACACGTGCACAGGTAAGCACTGGGGAAGGGGAGCAAAGACTAACAAAGAAACGAGCATCACAATGTTTTCTTTCTCTCTCTCTCTCCTCTCTCTCTCTCTCTCTCTCTCTCTCTCTCTCTCTCTCTCTCTCTCTCTCTCTCTCTCCCCTCTCTGTCTCTCTGTCTCTCTCTTTCTCTCTTTTCCCCCCTTCCTCCCTTCCTCCCTCCCTTCCTTCCTTCCTTCCTTTGTAATGGCACACCATTCTCTAATTATTCCTTAACATGAACTGTTTATAAAAACTGAGTTAACGTTTAGAAAGCCCTTGAGTTTTCAAGCTGATCACTTGCTGGAGGCATCAAATGATACGTGGTAGCATCTGCTGCTTCCCAAATATTGAGGAACAGTATTAGCAGCAGTTAAGTATCAGTTGTCAGTCTCATGACTATGCCATTCTTATGGGGATTAAAACAAAGAAAGTTAAGAAAGAAAAGTCATAGGTGTGTGCTACTGAGGAAGTGATTAGAACAGGAAGAAAGGAAGTTGAGGCCATAACAACTCTTATATTTCATTTTTCTACATAGTACAGATAGTAAGTGATATTTGAATTTTTAATGGTTTCAAAAGTCATTCATATGTGCTATTTCATTGAGTAAGTTCTTCAAATTAACTTAAGAATTCTAAAATAATCTTTCTAACAATATCATTACAAATTTTAAAATATCAAAAAAAACTATTAAAAAAACATTTAAAAGGGCGGGGAACAAGACCAGTGAGATGGCTCAGTAGGTAAAGGACTTGCCATGAAAACCTGAGTTCAATCCCCAGAACCCATGTGGAAAGAGAAAACAGACTCCTGAAAATTGTCCTGAGACTGACCTTCATGTGTGTATTGCAGCTTTCATGCACACACACACACACACACACACACACACACACACACACACACAAACACACACACACACACACACACACATCATATACACTTATATAAGCAATAATAAATTGCATTTTAAAATAAAGATAAATGGTTGGAGTTGTCTCTTAGTATCCATGGGGAATTAAGTATGTTTTCTTACCCCTAGGATGCCCAGATCCTCACAGGCTCAAGTCCCATAAATCAGGTTATTTGCATGTAACCTATGAGCTCTCCCATGATTACCTTAACTAAGTTCTCCATTTCATATAATATCTAATAAAATGTACATGTCATACATCTATATCTCTAGATCTCTAGATCTCATCTATCTATCTATAGTGATATTGTGTCCCCAATATATTATGTACCCCAATAAACTTTTCTGGGGTCAGAGAACAGAATAGCCACTATATAGACATAGAGGCAAGAAAATGGTGGCACACATACCTTTAATCCCAGCACTTGGGAGGCAGAGATCCATCCAGATCTCTGTGAGTTCAAGGCCACCCTGGAAACAGCCAGGCATGGTGACACACACCTTTAATCCAGGAAGTGATGGCAGGAAGCAGAAAGGTATATAAGGCATGAGGGCCAGGAACTAGAGGCTTTTAAGCTTTTAGGCTTTTTTAGCAGCAGTTCAGCAGAGACACTTTTGGGTGAGAACTCAGAGGCTTCCAGTCTGAGGAAACAGGATTGGATGAGGATTTGGCGAGGTGAGGTTGGCTGTGGCTTGTTCTGTCTCTCTGATCTTTCAGAATTTATCCCAATAGCTGGCACTGAGTTTTTTATTAATAACACCATTTAAGATTCGTGTTACATCTATCAATCTATCAATCAATCAATCAATCTATCTATCTATCTATCTATCTATCTATCTATCTATCTACCTACCTACCTATCAATCTATCAGTCGATAGATAGATATGTACATATGTATCTGTCATACTGTGTTGGAAGAATGACAAAACAAAAAGATTGTACACATTCAGTCCAGATGCAATTTCTTTTCCTGAAAACTTTTAATACTGAGTTGTTTGAACCCACAGCTTTGGTGTGCAAAGATACCAAGGGCTATGTTGAAAGCTCATTTCAGGAGACTAGCCTCTCTAAGCAGGTGGAACACTGCCAGTCAAGAGCTAACTTTAGTATAAGGGTGAAGATTTCGTGGCTTTAGAACTTCTGATCAAGACCCAAGTGTCCTAGCACTTGGGAGGCTAAGGTTCCTGGTGGCAAGTTTGAGGCCAACCAGGGGCCAGCTTAAGATGAAATTTTGCCTCTATAAAGCCAAAACAACATAGAGGACTGCTGGCCAAGGACATCAACAGAGTTGAAAGGAGACAGTGCAAACTAACTTCTGGGAAGTGACGTGGACTGGTTGATAAGAAGACATAGCTGCCACAGAGGAGGGTGCTAAGGAAACATCCTGACTGAAGGCCTGTCAGAGTCTGTAACTGAGAGCTTCCTAAAGACTTGAACAGAAAATAATAAATGAAAGATTCCCCACTAGGTACAAACCCAGCAACACACACCAGCCTACTTTGTCTACTGAGTACAAATTAGCTTGTCCTGCCATCTGAATTGACCATACCCTTGACAGTGCACCAGATCAATAACCCATATATCCTTGGTACACTTTATCTTTGACCTTGGTGTTCTGTAAATCAACATGATCCTTTAATAGGCCCAATCTGTGTGTTGCTTCCTTCTGTACATATATATAATACTTATTTTTCATGATACTAAATAAGTACAAATGCATTTATGAAACACCTTAGTAAAAATAAACACTACATAAGTGCTGGAGTTACAAAACTACATGTACACATAAGATAAAAGATATACAGTTGAATATTCATACTGATTAATACTCACTTTGTGATTTTTTTAAGTTTCTTTTGCTTCTTGTGTTTGAATGAGTTTAATTTAACACTAGACCACTGACATTGTAATTCAAAGTAAAGTTTTTTTATGGCTCTTTTGCCCATTTTGAGTTAGAGCCCTTAGCCCATTTTAGCATAATGTTATAACACATGACTTGAAATTTTCATTACTTAAAGATTATGCCATTTCTATTATGTCTTATGCAGTGATCAACTAAAACTACAGAGCAGGGCAGGTGGAAGAGGAACCATTGTGTTGTAATCCTGTGATGTCACCACATTCCCTGCATTCTCCCCTCCCTGTTCTTATCAGCTTATTGAAACAGAATGCCAGGTGGGTAGTAACCGTTGTCCATTTTTCCACCACAAATTTGTATTGGGGACTTGAAGGCTGTATATTCTAAACTCACAAACTTCCCAAGACAAATGGCTAAACAAGACAAAATCAGTGTAAAGACATAATAAGCATTATTGGGTGTGTGACTCAGATGTCTGGTAATTTGTAGTTATGATGCACACAAGTCTTCTTTAAGAAAGAGTGTGTAATTTCAGGAATAGGAATGATCTATACTTATTATGGAATAAAGAAATAAAAGAAATGAATGTTAGAAGAGAAAAGCATGGGATACACCACTGTACACAGAAAAGACAAATCTTGACACAGTAACAGATACTTCTCTAGTGGCTCAATTGATATAGCAATGGGGTGAGGGTATGATGCCTAGTTGTCTGTTTAAATGATGATCTAGATGTTTCTATGAAGGGTTTTTTTTTTAATGTGAAGATAGGACAAAGTAATTTACCATTCAAAATATAGGCAGGCCTCATCAAATCAATTGAAGGCCTTAAAGAAAATGATGGAGTTATCTCTAAGAGAAAATTCTGAGTTGGGATGACCTCTAGATTCAAGGCTATGGAATTAATTCCTTATAATTTCCAACTTGCCAGGCTACCTTGCTGCCTCTTTTTTTTTTTTTTAATTTATTTTAATTTATTTTGCAATACAATTCAGTTCTACATATCGGTCACGGATTCCCTTGTTCTCCCCCCTCCCGTCCCCCTCACCTTCCCCCCAACGCCCCCCCCCCATTCCCCTCTCCTCCAGGGCAAAGCCTTCCCCACAGACTGAGGTCAACCTGGTAGACTCAGTCCAGGTAGGTCTAGTCCCCTCCTCCCAGGCCGAGCCAAACAATCCTGCATAGGCCCCAGGTTTCAAACAGCCAACTCATGCAATGAGCACAAGATCTGGTCCCACTGCCTGGATGCCTCCCAAACAGATCAAGCCAATCAACTGTCTCACCCATTCGGAGGGCCTGATCCAGTGTGGACCCCTCAGCCATTGGTTCATAGTTCATGTGTTTCCATTCATTTGGCTATTTGTCCCTGTGCTTTATCCAACCTTGGTCTCAACAATTCTCGCTCATATAAACCCTCCTCATTCTCGTTAATTGGACTCCCAGAGATCCACCCAGGGCCTAGTACTCACTCATAGCAGGATACTAGACATGAAACAAGGATGAATTGTCTGCTACTCACATCACCAGGGAGGCTACCCGGAAAACAGGACCCCAAGAAAGACACAGGGATCGCCCAATGACAGAGAAATGGAATGAGATCTACATGAACAGCCTGGACATGAGTGGGGGTAATGAAAGGCGAGGGTCGAGGGAAAGAGAGCTTGGGGGAGCGGGAGATCCCAGCTGGATCAACAACAGAGAGGGAGAACAAGGAATAGGAGACCATGGTAAATGAAGACCACATGAGAACAGGAAGAAGCAAAGTGCTAGAGAGGCCCACAGAAATCCACAAAGATACCCACACAACAGACTGCTGGCAATGGTCGAGAGACAGCCCGAACTGACCTACTCTGGTGATGGGATGGCCAAACACCCTAATTGTTGTGCTAGAAACCTCATCCAACTACTGAGGGATCTGGATGCAGAGATCCATGACTTGCTGCCTCTTAAAACACACTTCCCTGCCTCTCTCCTGTATGAACAGCGTGGAGTAACTACCGGCATAAATTAGTCAGGTACAGGGTAAGAGCTTGGCTCCATATTGATTTCTGAGAGCATATTGTTCCTATTTCTGTTTTTAGTATATAAAGAAAAGCCTATCTACAGGAGACATTTAAACACCATGTGCTTGGTGGCAGTGGTGGTGGTTTTTCTATTAGAGTTAAGTGTCATGCTCTAGAGAACTGTGCTTGCTTTCCCCG